TATGGGAGACTGTGGGTTGGGGTTTTTTTCTCAGGGTTTTGGGTTTTTTTTAATTAAGTAATGATGACAAAACCAACAGATATTCAGGATTTCTTGTACCTGAAGAAAGGGATCTGGGCATGGGTAACCTACCTCAATAAAAACTGTACAAGCATCTTGCAGAAAACATGTTTTCTACAGAGGCAACCCAAACCTTCTGGGAGAGAGGTACCTAAAGTCACCACTCAGAGATATCCAAATAAACCCATTAAGTATTAGATGTCACATGAATGACATGAAACTTTCTTCTCCCTAGAGATATTTCTGACATGAACAGCATTAGATGTCACATGAAGGACATGAAACTTTCTTCTCCCTAGAAAAATTTCTCATTGAATATGGACACAGGGTTATTCATGGGAATTATCTGCAATCCGAGCATTATTTTAACTTGCTGGGGGGATGTTTCAGATGGTTCAAGCGTTATAGAATCATGGAATGGTTTGGGTTGGAGGGGATGTGAAACCTCATCTCATTCCACTCCCCTGCCATGGGAAGGGACAGCTTCCACTATTCCAGGGTGCTCCAAGCCCCAGTGTCCAACCTGGCCTTGGACATTTCTAGGGATGAAGCAGCCACAGCTTCTCTGGGCAGGCAACTTTCCCAAGGCTATTCCACAAGGAACACCACTGTCCTTCAAGAGCTCCATGAGCACTTCCACACCCCTTAAGATCAAAGCACAGGCTGGCATCTCCCTAAAATGACCATTCCCTCCCAGAGCAGTGATTCCTTGGATAAGGAATCCCTTGGCAGCAGGAGCCCAGAGGTCAACCCCCGACACGTAAAAGGCTCTGAGAGAAAGGGAAACCCTCCAGTGAGTGTTTTTATGAGAGAAAATACCTTCCTTCTCCTGGAGACTGGGATTAACTTTCTGTAACTCTGCAAAAGGTTAAAGGGACCATGTTCACTTTTAAACACCAAAGGCATTTAAAGCAGAGACTACCTTGACTCGTTTATTCTACATTTGAAATAAATCAAAGTTATATTAACAACCACTCACCAGTGTCTTCCTCCACAATCTCTGACATCTGAGGTTTCTACCCAGCAAATAATAAAGGTCCTGTTACCTTTTCACTTAAATCAACATCCTGCAAAGCTTCACTTCACAATTACTGGAGCATCCCAGGAATAGCCATTAACCCTTTGAAGTGCTCTTGCCCTGGAAATCTTTGCTCTGCTTCTCATTATGTCCTCACATCCACAATCCTTTCAGGTTAAAAAGCAGCACATTCCATGGCTACATGATAATACTTGCACTTTTCCTGCCCCCAGCTGTTCTCAAACCATGTGCCCAGTGATTCAGGTGCCCCAGGCCTGGCTGGTGTCTCCAGAGGAGCTCCAGGACCTTGGTGTCCACCCCTCTGGCTGGGACTCCAGGCAGCTCCACCAGCCAGTCCCTGGAGATCCCTCTGTAGCTGCATTTTGGCAGTGCCTTCACTCACACCACCACGAGCTGCACAGTCCCACCTGCATAAAGCTTTCCCCAGGATTTTTTTTTTTGCAACTTTCATCTGCTCTTCCCTGCTCATCTGGGCCCCAATTCCCAGCTCTGAGGATGAGCTGCACAGTGTAACATTGGATTAGCAGCTATGACATGATGGACTTGTTCTTTGGAGTCATCTCACTTGAAAGTGAAGCATCTGGTCCTTTCTGCATCTGTTCTTTGTCCAGGCCAAGGGCTGACTCCCTTTATTAAGCAATTAAGGATGAATTCAAGCTGAATTCCCAGGGAAAAAAAACCCAGAAATTATTAATAATAATTATCAGTTTTATCAGTGGGAAGGTTCCCCAAGCTGAGTCTGAAATAAGGCAAATGGGACAAGAAGGGGAGAGAAAAATCTACTTCCAGAATAACCTCAGGTGACCCATTTATCTCTGAGATCCAGGTAGAGGGTAACAGCTTCCAGCTTCTAAGGCGCTGGAAAGGGAAAAAAACCTACAGTGGAAATATTTCCTGAAAGCAGGTGTGTACCCAAAAATCCATGAAATCACACTGTTGGTTGTGGGTGGACTTATGTAGATGGCAGAGGAAGGGGGACAAGGCTGAAAAAGGCATTCCCAGCATGATAGGAAAGTTTTTAAAGGCAGATGTGGATATCCAGACTTGGAAAATCCAAACCCAGACAATGATGGCTCCATTGCCTATCACAGACATAAATCCAGTGCAGAGTTCCTGACTCAAGAATTTGCTTTCATCAGACCCTATTGATTAAAAATGACCAGCAATCAAATGTTATTTCTGGATTCCACTGGAGCTGAAGGGCTTTGGAACAAAACAGCAGTTGAGCAGCTCTTGAAATTATAACAACACATCATAAGCAACAGCACCCCTGCTCAGGGTGGTACCCCACTCCCTCAACCCCTTTGGGACATTCCTTAACCAACAACTTCCAGACAGGTGAAAAATTAGCCCAATTATCTGCACATTCCCTCCCTCTCTGATGAGCAGAGCTGCAGAAACCCTGGGAGTGCAGCAGGCCTGGAGTTGTGGTGAGGGCTGCTCATGTGAGGGATGGGAACCTCGTCTTTTCTCCTGAGACCCGAGGAGCCAGCTTTCCAAGGGGAAACCTTTGCTTATTTTCTCTTTCTTCCCCTCCCCTTCCCCCTCCTGCTTTGTCCAGAGTCTCTCCAAGAGAGCCAAATTCCCCTTGAACATGCTAAGAGGAGGCTTGCTGGAACATCTGCTCTGCATGTGTGGAGCCAGACACATCCCCAGGCAGCACTGCTAGCAGTGATGGATCTGGGAGGGAACGTGGAGCCCTGGAGAAGCATCTGCTCAGAGAGGGGAACCCGGCACACAAAACTCACCCAGTTATCTGCTGAGCCCCCTGCTCTCCGCCCCTTGCTCCCAGTGGACAAGTGCCTCCTCCAGAGCACTTTCCAGGAGCTGTTCTCTCCCAGTTTGGTATTTCCAACCGTCTCCTGCTTGTGCCACGTGAGCACCACCAATGCATGGCTCCATAGTGACTGGGGAGCTGGAGGAGTGTCTGGAGGAGAACCTGGAGTGAGTGGTTTCTTTTGGGAGCATTGCTTGGACAGGACACTGGGAAATACAGCTGGACTTGAACTTAAAAGCCTTTTCCAGCCTTAATGATTCCGTGATTTCAAAGAAACCACTGCGGAGTGAACTCCACATTGATCACTCCGAGTTCAAGGCTCAGCTCTGCCACCTCTGACTGTGGCCATTCCTGCATCCATCCCCTCCTTCCCTGCTCCTTGTTGGTGCTCAGTGTTTGCCACCGTGAACTTTCACTACACCAAAACTTTGTGCTCCTTGGCACGCTAGCGTCAGAACAAATTATGTTCTTTGTACAAAACCAGCACAAAATTCCCACCCTGAGCCGACCAGAGGAAGCAAGACAAACTTGAATTATTTAACAGCCATTTGTCCACTATTGTCCAATCTTAATGATTCTTGAATTGTCACACTTGGCATTTTCCTTTCTTACGCAGATTTATAGGTAATGGATTTCCTGTTTAATTTGCACAACAAGGAGAACACAGGCAGCCCTAATGTTTCCTAAAGTGTCACCTTCTCACAACTTCTCTGCAAGAACCTTTCCTGCAGCCTGTTTTCGGCTGCCTTAAGCTTCCTGCCACAAGGGAAAATGCCAGGTTGCTAAGAAGGGACCTTAACAGCCTGTGCCTTATCCTAAAGTCAATCCCTCTTTTCCCAAGGCAAAGCTGCCCGGACTGCACCCTAAGACACTGTTAGATGGAGAACCTGAGAATCCTCCGGGATCCATGATAAATGCAGGCCGTTTTCTGCTCTCTGGCTCTTTACCTGAAGCTGCTGAGCTTTGTCCCGTCAGGAATCTGCCTGTGGCTCACGAACTTCACAGGTGTCTCTTGAAACTTCACCGCACAGCAGCAGGATGGGAGCCTGTGCACAAAGTCAAGCACGTGATTAAGTACCTTTATAAAAGTTCTTTATGACCTGTTTCAGGAAAAGCATTTAGGCTTGCCCTAACTTTAAACACGATTCCTTTCCATTCACTCAAGTCCTTAAAAATACGACTTGAACTATTTCTGAATTAATTTAGACATTGGCAGTAAGCATTGTGGAAATAAAAGAACGAAGCACACACATTATGTACCTGCCCTAAAGTTCTGGTGGTGCTTAACACCTTCCACCCCATCCCTGCCATGCTGGATACCTGCTGCCCTCCCAGTTTCCAGCTTTTCCAGAGGTGTGGCCCACCTGCTCCACCACTCCAGGACTGCACCTTGTGTGGTTTGACAGCCCTGGTGAGACAGAGCATTGAATGACCACAGAGCAAATGTGTGATTCAAGTGCAAATGGGAAATGCAGCAGCCAAAGGAGGTGGTGTTGGCTCAATTAATGAGGTACCACTGTGCCCCAGTTTTGCACAGCAGTGCATCCCACACCTTCCCTCTCCAGAGGAGCAGAAGATGCCACTGTCTTGTGCTGTCAAACACAGGAGCGTGTGTTTTTGACAGCAGTACAATAGCATTTTGTTTGTCCCCATTTTGTGGGGCTATTAACGCCTCACCAAAAAGATAAAGGACTATTTTGTTCCTTCCTCCAACCACTCCTCACCAAACAAAATCCCTCTGTGAACCTCCTCTAAACAGGAGGTGGAGAGACTGGACGTGTGGAAGAGCTCAATAAGTGCTTCAATGAATTTTCCAGGAGAAAGTCAATAGAAAACTCATTCTGTCTTCAATTAATTCGTATTGTTTTGTAGTGGACAGCTAATAAAAAGGGAAGCACGTGCACTAATTAGTTTTGAGAGATGAAGAGGATCCATGAAGTATTTCCTGCTGAGAAGACATGAAGTATTTAAATCCCAACTCCCACTCGGACTTGCAATCGTGGAAAATTTTTCCATAACCTTCCGCAAGGACACAACCAGAACTCCCTGCCCACATCTGTTGAAATTAAAACCCCATTAAACAAGTTTAACCTGAAGTTGTGAGCCTGAGTTGCGGGCCAGGGCATGGAGGAGCTTTACTACAGCTTCGAGGAGGGAGGCCCCACTGCGGAATCTCTCCTCTGGGAGCCACCAGATCCTGACGCACAGCTGGAGAACTTTCTCCTGGAGTGCCTGGCAGAGCCCTCATGGGCAGGGCCGGCTGGTGCTGATCTGGACAAGCTCCCAGCCCCGCCGGAGCCCACCGGGCAGCCACGGCAGCGCCGCGCCGCCAACCTGCGGGAGCGCCGGCGCATGCTGGGCCTCAATGCGGCCTTCGAGGCCCTGCGCGGCCATGTGCCCACCTTCCCCTATGAGAGGCGCCTGTCCAAGATTGACACGCTGCGCCTGGCCACCGCCTATATCGCCCTGCTCGGGGACATCCTCCTGTCCGGCTGCCACCCCCGGGCCTACGTGGAGCAGTGCCTGAGGAGCGGCGCCGCGGGCCCGCAGCGGGCGGCCTGGAACACCAGTGGTGAGCGCTTGGGGGGAGCAGGGCCACCCTCAGGAGCTGATTCTGGGCAGTTGTTGGTTTTGTCGGGTTTTGGGCAGAGTTGGTTTTGTCGGGTTTTGGGCAAAGTTGGTTTTGTCAGGTTTTGGGCAGAGTTGGTTTTGCTGGGTTTTGGGCAGAGTTGGTTTTGCTGGGTTTTGGGCAGAGTTGGTTTTGTCGGTTTTTGGGCAGAGTTGGTTTTGTCGGGTTTTGGGCAGAGTTGGTTTTGTTGGTTTTTGGGCAGAGTTGGTTTTGTTGGTTTTTGGGCAGAGTTGGTTTTGTTGGGTTTTTGGGCAGAGTTGGTTTTGTTGGGTTTTTGGGCAGAGTTGGTTTTGTTGGTTTTTGGGCAGAGTTGGTTTTGTCGGGTTTTTGGGCAGAGTTGGTTTTGTCGGGTTTTTGGGCAGAGTTGGTTTTGTCGGGTTTTGGGCAGAGTTGGTTTTGTCGGGTTTTGGGCAGAGTTGGTTTTGTCGGGTTTTGATTTTTTGCTCATCACACCCAAATAGCTCTGAAACGGCACAGGAAGGGCCTTCAAAGAGAGGAAATCTCAGTCGGGTCGCAGTAGAAAATCATAATTATCTCTCTTCTCTAACTTTCTTTTTTCTTTAAAAAATTGAATAAACACTGCCCCCTCCCCAGCCAAAAGCAACTTGCTAAGGTTCTTTTTACAAAGAGGAAAGATTTTTAGTCTTAGAATATATTTTTAGACTTTTTAAAAAATTCTATGAGAAATTGTTCTTTTCTGATGGAGCACTTAGAGATTTTCTACGTTTTCTTTAGAAGTTTTCTTTAGCTTGTACTTGGCAGAGAAAAACACCTGGGGTTGGACACAAACAGCATTTCATTTCTTAAAATACAGATGTTCCAGCAACCCAAAGTTTCTCAGAGGTTACAGTTCAACACATGAACCAGGATATACAAGTCAGATCAAGCTATTTTCAAAATATGGGGAAGTAAATGTCTATTTGCAATTTATAATCTTATATAATTATTTCTATTTTAAAGTGGAGGACTGTTATTCAGTTTTCTGTTGGGTTTGTACTTAATCCCTGATTTAGCTGGAATGAATTTAGGCCTTTCTTCCTCCAGAATATATTTTTCATTGGGCCACTGCATGGTGAAGATGAGAAATTGCCCAAACTGCCCAACACAGGGCCTCAACCTCAGAAGGCAACAGGTTTTGTGCTGCTTAGAGCAGGGAGGAGCAGACTGGGGCAGGGGGGGTTCAGTAGTTCTTGGTACTTTGCATTTTAAGTTAATTAATCCCCTTTCCAACTCTGTTCCTTTGCTGTATATGTTCCTTTGGATCTTGGAAAGGGGCCTTCAAAATGAGCCCTCAAAAAGTACAGCACGAGTAAGGAAAGAGAAAAATCAGTGAATAGAAATACTCCTCTTTCATATTACAGGGAAGTGCTAAAGGGACAGAGACAGCAGAGGAAAAGCAATCAGTTTACTTGAAAGGAAAAATTAATTGAGTTTTTTCTCCTTTCCTATTAATTTCCATTATCTGGGAAAATGACTCCTGATACACCATTGATTATGTCTCTTGACTACAAAAGAAAATTTTGTGTTTTAGTGGCCAGCTTCCCCTGCTTTTAACAGATTTAAAATAACACAAATATTTCTCATTGGGATCCCCCTTTTGCCACACTTCCTGTCCTGAAGAGCTCCACTTGGAAAGATCCAATTGAATGAGGCTCCTCTTCTGAAGAGGCTGGATAGTTGACTTGGTAAAGGTTAATTTAAATGCTGAAATGACCATGTTTTCCTCTCTCCCTTGTGCAGATCTGACAGCCCGTCTGTCCTGGGTAAAGTGGGATTAAGGAGAGGCCTTTAAAGGCAGGAAAACCTGGAGTGCTGGGTACCAGCTGCTCAATTCCCAGAGCACTTCCCCACCTCATTTCCAGCACCCAGCCCCTCTCTCTGCTGATTCATCTCTCCCTGGGGCCTCCTGCTTCTCTTTCTCACTCTGATAGAGCTGCACTCGCCGAAGAACAGCAAAACATTGAGAACCAGTGCCAGCACAACCACAGCCCCAACATTTTCCCTTCCACTGGATGAAGATTATGTCCAAATCCCATTTCCAGCACATGAGAAACACGATTATAAGAAAAAAGCTAACCAACATCTGTGAAAATCTAGTGCTTGGCTTAAGATATCCAGGGTGATGGTTGTGAGAGTCACCAGGGATTCAGAGACCATGAAAGTCCAGAAGGTGAGACATGGCTCTGTAGATATCCAAAATTTTTCACGTCCACACAGAAAGGTTTGGGTGGAAGGCACCTTAAAGCTCATTCATTCCCACCCCCTGCCATGGCAGAGACACATTCCACTATCCCAAGCTGCTCCAAGCCCCAGTGTCCAACCTGGCCTTGGACACTGCCAGGGATCCAGGGGCAGCCACAGCTTCTCTGGGCACCCTGTGCCAGGGCCCCACCACTCTCAATCTGAAACCATTCCACCTTAATGTTCTCCATCGTGGCATTTTGTAGCAGGAAAGAAAATAAAATGTATTTATTATTTATCATTGTCATTAGTTCATCTCACATCTCCCACCTCTACGAAGCAAAAGCATGTCAGGAACTGAGCCTTTGCTCTGGTTCTGGCTTTGGGGAAAGTGAAGAAGGGCCTTAGAGGAGGAAACTCTGAAGAACCATTTTAGCTTTTCAATTTTTCTGTCAAAATGAAAAGGAGAATTTCACCTTGGGTGCAACAATGTATTTCAGTCAATTTAGAATAAAACATTCAATATCAAATTTTGACTCTGCTTTCTCACCTGCTTCAGACAATTGGATGAATTGTTACAGGAAACAGCACCTGAAAAAATGAAAATCTTAAAAAACAAACAAACAAACAAACCTGAAAATGCATTTTTTCTACTCTTACCTAGTTCTCTACTCTGGGAATGCTGATCCTCCATGTCATCAAAGTGTCACTGGAGCTGCTGTGACACTGTCACCTTCCTGGTGAGGTGAGGGCTCAGTGGGACCTGAGCCAGGGCTGAGAGCTCCATACCCATCTCAGTGGCCCAAATAATGCCCATATAATCTCAGTAGGGTTTTCCATGGATTTTCATCAGGATCTTTATTTCTCCAAGGTCCCACTGAGGGCAACAGGGATTTGGGATTCCTCCCTCCAAGCTCCCCTCAGCCAGAGCCCTCAGGTCACACCCCACGATCATCTGGGTACAAAAATGCCTCTCCAGGGCTGTCATGGCTTGTGGGGGAATCATCTCCTATCAGGACTAAAAAGTCCTTTACCCCAGGCTAATTTTGGGCATCCAGAATCCCTGTCTCCAGATATGCCTCATTTCAAAGATTTGAATCTCTGCCCTGCTTTTCTCTACCCTGCAGCAGAGCTTTGTGCTGGGCACAGGGATAATAATACCATGTCCTGAAACAAGTACTTGCTGCAGGCACCTGCTTACAAGCAGAAATCTCTTTCTTTGCCTTTTGTTCCAGCCTAGAAATCCAGGACAAGGGCTTTGGAAGCAAGCTGGGCGTGTGCAGTAGCAGCAGGAAAGCACATCCACAGAAAGGTGATTTTGGGGGATCTTTCAGGCACTGCTAGTTTGGATGGACAGCAAACCTGGAGAAGCCATTGGTACTAAAAGCACCATAATGATAGAGCAGGAAGAATTGTCCTGAGTCAGAGCTTTTCCTCCATGTGGTGCCTCCAGCTGAGGAAGGAGGATAAAGCTGAAGTCCTCCTGAGGTGCAAACACCCATCACTGGTGCTCCACACTCAAATAACAATGCCAGGACAGACAGAAATATCTGCTGAGCTTCCTACAGCCCAGTGCCACCAGCACCACCTTGGAATTCCTACAGGATTTGCCAGCTGGGCTGGGGTCTGCAGGCTGGCAAGCTCTGCCTGCTGTGGGGTCACTCCCACCTACCCCTGCTGCTGTCAAGGAACCATCACACAAATGTGATGATCACACAAAGCAGGGCTTTGAGGAACAAGCTGTTGGAATTCCATGATGGCTCCAAGCTTGGAGAAACAGCAGCCAATAAACCCTGCAGCAGGTTATGGAAGGATTGGGGCTTGGGTTGGAGTCAAAATCAGAAATATAATGTTCCTTTCAGAGCTGAAAGTTTAACCTTGGGCTCTTGAATCAGTGAGTAGGGGTCAATACATTTATTGCCATTGATGAAGATGTTTCTCCTCACACACACCATGACTGACACTGGTTCCACTCCATCACCTTCAGCAAAGCCACATTTGATTTATGCTGACTGGGGCTGCCTGGAGGTGACACCACCTCTGCCTGCCCTCCCCAAGTTACCTGGAGTCTGCCAGGCTCTTCTAGCTGGTACCCCACCCCAAATTACTAAAGCAAGGGTTGCTTTTTGGGTGATGTGTTGTTAAATCATTTGGATGCAACTGGCTGCTGAAATGCTGAACGTGCCACAGAATCAGGCCAGTCTCTGATGGTCCCATTAACTTCATGTTAAAAAAAGCAAATCAAGAGGGCATCAGCTCTCTCTGGCTGAGTGAAGCCCAGCTGGAGCTATGGCTCCCTTCCTGCTAAACTGAGCAAAAGCAAATTCACTCTTCAGGGATTTTTTGCAGGAAAGCCATTCCTGAATAGCTCCAGGCCTGGACACACATTTGTTCTTGAACAACCCTGCCCTTTTCTGATTGAACTTCAGCTCCTGGATGTGGACTACCAGGCAGAAAGATGAGGGAGAAACTATTTCTGTGCAGGACATTTTCACTCCGTGCCAATCCAGGAGAACTGCTGAGTGTGGATTTTGTGGATGCGCTCCATGTCCACGCATCCTCTCCCCTCACAGTTCTGGCTCATTCCTTGGCTCACAGCTCTCCTGGCAACAGGCCTGGCTGGCAGCACAGTGAGATTCTCTGACAGGGAGCTGATAGTTACCTTCATTTTTCTGTTCCTTCATCTGACATCCTGAACCCTGACATTTTATTCCAGGAATAAATTACACAAATCCTATGGTGTACACACACAACCTGATTGTACAGCAGCCCAGATCAAGACTCTAAGATGATTTTATGAAGGCCTATCCAAGGCTCCTCAGTCCATCAGCACATTCCCAAACAGGGAATACCAATGACCAACCTGGTTCGAGGGTCAGGCTCCACCTTGCTGGTCTTCCTCAGCCCTGCTTCCTCTGCAATTCCACAGCCAAACCTCCCATGGAAGGGTGCCAGGAGGTGCTGAGGGGTTCTACCCTGGTCTCCAGCCTCTGAGGAGCAGCTGAGGGGCCCAAGAGCAGCAGGAGAATTGCTCATTCCAAACAGAGTCCTCTTTCCAGCCCACTGCTCTCCTTGCCAAGAAATGTGAGAATTATTTGTTACACCTTCCTTCTTCCAAAAGTAAACTGCTGACCCTTTCTGGAACAATACTCTGTGGCTCTCCATCAACCTGGAAACCCTGGAACAAAAGGAATCACATCCCCACTGGGAGCTGTTCTTTTGAGAAGGTGTTGGTAGTTTCAGGGACAATTTGGGAGTGAAAGGACAATTTGGTTTTCTAATTATTTTTTTTTTTTTTGGCCACAGACCCACAACAGCAAGTTTTCATTTCTGAGCCACCTGGGACAGTGGAAGGTGTCCTGCCCATGGCAGGGGGTTTGGGTTGGGAGGGACCTTGAAGCTCATCCCATTCCACCTCCTGCCATGGGCAGGGACACCTTCCACTGTCCCAGGTGGCTCCAAGCCCCATCCAGCCTGGCCTTGGATACTTCCAGGGATCCAGGGGTAGCCCTGGATCTTCTGTGGGCACCCTGTGCCAGGGCCTCAAAGGGAAGGTTTGGAATGGGAATATTTGGGAAAGTTGCAGCTTATGAAGGAGCTCCCAGGTGTTCTTTCCCTCATTTCCTTCCTCTTGCAGAGAAGAATGAAGTCTCTCTGTACCTCTCATGCCCAAAATCCCTCACCTGGAGAGTGCTACCACCATGGTGTGCCCTCAGGTGGGATGGCAGGGACTTCATCCCAACCTTCATTCGCCTTCAAACCCAGTGATGGCCATTTGGGACAGGATTTCCTGGGCTGTGGCCATGCTCTCCATGGATATGACCCAGGGAGGCTGGCCCAGGGAATCAGCAGGAGGAGCTCACAGCAGCCTGAGGGTTGCTCTCCTGTGGCAGAAGATGTTTGCTCCTGGGTCAGACACTGGGAGGGAAGCAATGAACCTGTTCCTTGAGAGGATCCACCATCCCTGTGGTCAAAGCTACACCCTGGAGCAGGACAGTCCCTTTGCACAGGTGGCAAAAGAAGCAAACAGGCACTGGGGTGGCTTTTCAGAGCTGGTTCAGCCTCCTGAATGCTTTGTGGGAGTCCCTTTGCAACAACCCAGCTCTGCTTTCCCAACTGCACCCCCGCAACAAATCCATGTGTAGGCACCCAGGATGTGGCTGTGGGGGCCACCAGCAAGCCCTGACCTTGGGAAGAGCCTTCCAAGCCACATCAGCTCCTTCTGTGGGAACAAAGTGTAATTTCCACCAGGATGGCTAATTTTAGATGACTCCCACCCAGTCTGTTTGCTGGAGCCCGAGTGCATCTGAACAGGGAAACTCCAGCGCCAAAGCGATTCCAATCTCAAAGAGAATTCCTTGCCAGGAGAGGGGGAGAGGGGGACGGGGATAAAAGCAGATAATATTTTGGATCCACTGTCCAAGCCGGTGTTTGAGCTGAGGGGAATCCAGCTGCAGGCAGTGCCCTCTCGTGGTCCAGGATTACAATCTCGCCTTCCCAAAAGCTGAGGATGGCTCCTGCCAGCATCCCTGCTCCAGCCCAGCCCCGGGAAAGCAGATCATCACCTCGGGGAGCAGAGTGAACAGAAACATCTGCT